ATACGATAGATGAAATGCTAAATAAATAGATTCGTTTGTTCGTACACGACGTTGCAGCTTCATCACCGTTTATATTTTCCCGAGGCTCTACACAAAGGTGCTTCAAATATTTAAAAATTTGAATAAAATTTTACAAAAAGGACAGAAGGATTAGTCAAGCAGCTATAAAATAATGTTGCTCGATCAACGGAATGGGAAAATGACGTGGCCCTGCATGTTCTTCAGGGACAGTTTTTAGCTGCGCCGCATCTAGGTATTAAGAAAGTAAGGTGGCACCTTTCTCAGGCCAAGAAGCATATTTATCATTTTTTTCCTTTTTGGGGGATTTTTCATCATTCTTTTAATTTATTTTTTAATAAGAAAAACAAAATATTTTCATAACTCACAACTCTTTATCTTCATAACTTATACTTTTAATAGTCTCAATAACTCCAATCTCAATAACTCCAATCTCTTTCATATTCATAACCTCCAAATGTTTAATGTGTAAGTTTATGATAATTTATCTTTCTTTTTTTAATCTTCCACTTCATGTCTCTCATTTAATCTAGAGTAAATGAGTAATAAAGAACCTATGTTGTAGTTTTCTAGAACAAAGCTCACGTAGCATTAGCAATTGAATACCATTTCTATTTATTTTTGTTGTCCTTTATTTACTTTAAAATTTAAAATTTAAAATTTCATTTTCATAACTCATACTACCTTAACTTCTACTCTTAATAATATCCATAACACTCATGCTTTTCATATTCATAACCCCCACATATTTAATTTAAAAATTAAAATAACTTATGGTACTCATCTATTTTTTAATATATGTCACGACCCAAAATCCACTAAGGGTCGTGATGGCGCCGGACACCATTGTCAGGCAAGCCAACAACAAATAACTAGTAACTTCTCGTTTTAAATATTTCTGAAATCACTTCTTTTATATGTTTAAACAATACATAATAAATTCCACTGAATAAATAATGAAACATTTAACAATTTTAAATTTCTGAATAAACCAATAGACATCCCAGAACCCGGTGTCACAAGTGCATGAGCATTTACTAGGGAATGAAATGAAATACAGTAATTGTCCGGTATACAAAGTGGACAGAAATGAAAACACAGTACAGTATTCTGAAGGAGACTCTGCTGGCTGCGGGTCGTCTCGATAAGTGCAGCTCACCTAAGTCTCCGTATCAACCATGTCACTATGCCACTAAGCCACTAATCGCACATAATCCTGTGCAACAAAAATGCACAGCAAGTGTGGTATGAGTACGAAAACAACGTGTACTCAGTAAGTATCCCGCCTAATCTCGAAGAAGTAGAGACGAGATGGCAACTTCGACACTTACTAAAGGTCCAATAATAATATTATTAATGCGATGACTCACGGATTTATTAAGGACAACAGTAGATTCAAATGAGTCACTAAACAGGTGAAAGTTCCTTTTTATTTAAAGTCTCCGGATTCATAATCCATTAAATAACAATTATCTCAAGTCGGGAGAGCAGATAGCAATATCAATAAATCTCAAGGCAAGCAATACAAGCATGCGCAACTCATGCCGAGGTCGTATGGTCCGATCCAACATAAATGTAAAATGTGCACTGCCGAGGGTCGAGCAGCACGAACCATAGATGCATCTATTACCCCGCTCGCAAATCATACATGCGACGCGGTCAAATTTAACTAAACAGTCACCCTGCTCACGAATCATACATGCGACGCAGGTACACATAGAAATACATGCTCAAACAGCAATTTAAGAATTTATCGGGGAACATTTATCCAAATAAAAGCCAATTCTCTTTTAATGATTTAAGAAAATGAAGTTTAATCCTCTTAGAAATTTATTTACCAATTCGATAGGATTTAAGAAATTCAACTGTCAATAAGATCACAGATATTCCAAGTATAGCATGCTTTTGGGTCCTAGACTACCCGGGCTTACACATATTAGTAGCTACGCACGGACTCTCGTCACCTCGTGCATACGTAGCCTCCACAAATAGGAGCACATAACTAATTATTTCACCTATGGGGACAATTCCCTCTTACAAGGTTAGAAAGGAGACTCACCTCGCTCCGAAGATCCATAACCGGCATTCCACGCCCTTCCGAAGACTTGAATCGATGCTAAATGCTCCAAAGCTTATCATTGATGATGAAAACCCCCCTCTTGAAACCCTTCAAGAATCGTCCAAGCCAAGAGAAAACTGAGAGAAATGGCTAAATCCCGATTTTTAAAACACTCACTGCCTCCAGCACTTCCGCACCTGCGGTCCCATGACCGCTTCTGCGGTTTTGCAGGTGCAGCCTTTCTACCGCTCCTGTGTTTCTCACCAGGCCCCCATTTCCGCTTCTGCGCCTCGACCACCGCAGGTGCGGTCCCGCTCCTGCGGCTGCTTGACCGCATTTGCGATCTCTTCACTTCTGGTCCAAAAACCACATCTGCGGCTCCTCCGGTCGCTTCTACGGCTCTGCACCTGCGGCCCTAGTCTCGCAGGTGCGATTATACCAGCAACCAGCAACTTCAGCCTTTCCAAAATTCCATTTTCGATCCGTTAACCACCCGGAATCCACCCGAGGCCCCCGGGACCCCAACCAATCATCCCAACCAGTCCCAAAACACATTACGGACTTGCTCGAGGCCTCAAATCACATCAAACAACGCTAAAACCACGAATCGACCTCCAATCCAAGCTTTATGAACTTTAGAATTTCAAACTTCTACTTTCGATGTTAAAACCCATCAAATCACGTCCGATTGACTTTAAATTTTACACGCAAGTCATATTCGACATTACGGACCTACTCAAACTTTTGAAATCGGATTCCGACCCCGATATCAAAAAGTCCACCTCCGGTCAAACTTCTCAAAAACCTTCAAATTCTATCCTTAGCCAAATGGCTCCAAAATGCTCCACGGACATCCAAATTCACTTCCGATCGCACTCCTAACTCCAGAATCACCATACGGAGCTACTTCCAGACTCGAAATCCCAAACGGACATCGATAACACTGAAATGTACTTCAACTCAAACTTATGAAATTTCTTCCAAAATGCTAACTTCCACAATAGGCGCCAAAACGCTCCCCGGTCACCCAAAACCCGATCCGGGCATACGCCCACGTCCGAAATCATCATACAAATCTATGGGAACCTTCAGATCCTGATTCCGAGGTCGTTTATTCTGAAATCCAATCCTAGTCAATTCTCTCAACTTAAAGCTTCCGAAATGAGAATTTCCTCTCCAAGTCAACTCCGAACTTCCCGAAATTTAATTCCGACCACGCGTACAAGTCAAAATGCCTGAATTGAAGCTGCTCATGGCCTCAAACTGGTGAACGGCCCGCTAGAGCTCAAAACGACCGGTCGGATCGTTACACTATATAAATTCATAACTTTGTTTCATGAGACTCCTACCCAAGACTATCCTTTCTATTCTTTTACCTGAAATAGTAACGTTGTCATATTTACTACAACATTTGATTCATGTTTTAGTTTGGCTTGAGGAAGAAGGCTCTTGAATAATGGTCGATATTGCGGGAAGGGGTGTCGACAAGAACTCGAAAAATTATATAGTGATTTTGCATTTCTATTTCCTTCTATTTTCTTATGATTAAGGTCTCAAGTTGTATCTTTTCTTCTCTATTTACTTTCTCGTGTGTTCTCTTTCGCTTTATTTTCTATGAACATTTGTTTGTCGCAAGTTTGTATTTCGTTTGGACTCAAACTAATTACTTATGAGTTAAACGTTGTTGGAAGTATGCTAACTACTAACCAATAACAGCTCATTGTGTAAAAGGGATAAATTTTAAACATTCAAATACGCCCTTCATTGGATATTTCGGCAACACTTCTTATTTCTTTTAGTTAGTAAAAAGTGTTAGGGCTAAAAGTCACAGAGCAGGCGCAAGTTCTTCTTTGCTGAGCCATCGGCATGTTTGTTTCTTGTAAAATAGAAATTATTTTCTACTTCATTTCTACTTGTAATTTTTACAAAGTAAGTGGTAGTTATCTTTCATTGTATTCGTATGATTGTATCATGTATTATATGTACGACAAAATAAAATAAAGTATTTGATTTACTTTGTAACATTTGATTCTTTTTGAAGTATTGTGATAATTATCTTTCTTTTTGAAAGTTATGTTTTGATTTACTTCTTTGAATTGCCTATTATTTGTGAGACAAAAAAAAAATTTTGCTGATAGGATACAAATAATTGAGCAAGTATTCTGAAGTGAAGTACTCTATTCTCCTTGGAATGGAGAATTTGAGAGGGAAACTAATGAATAGAAAAGAAAAGACAAAGACGAAGGCTAAGAAGGGAATAACGAGAAGGAATATAAAAAAGAATACGCCGCAATTTCCACATATTTCTTTTGTTTTGTTTTATTTTCTTTTCATTATTAGTTTCTTTACTTTTATTTCATATTTCTTTTATTTGAATAGGAGAAATTTTAGCAAAGCCGATGTTTTACTATCTAATGAAAAAATTATCTATTTACATGCCTCTAATATATAATTGTACTTAAAGAGTCATGTATTAACCTCTCACTTCCTCCTCATTAATTATAATATATGTAAGTGAAATTTTTTTCTTGAAAAACCTTTCTTTTATCTCCTTTTAAAAAAGAAAATCAGAAAAAAATGCAGTTACCTAAAATCTAATTCTAATTAAAATGCTAAGTATATGATTTATCAATATGTAGATTCATCTTTTATATCCATGTTAATTTAAAAAAAATTCTCTCTCTCATCCGCTATTTGTCGTTATTTTTTTTTATTTTTTTTAAATTTAGTGATAATGGAGGTGCACGCAAACGGAGATATTGAGTGCTAGCTATCTTTTCCGTGGTGTCCAAGTATGTTAACTCATTTAGTCCATTCACCATAGTTGACTCCTTTTCACAAATCGGGAAAGTTTGAGTTACTATTCGGGAAACTTGCAATATGCCAAAAAAAGTAAAACGGGAAAGTTTGAGTTAGTGAGGGCTTGAAGAAAAAATATAGTGTCTTCCCTTTCATTAATTTATCGTAGACATCCGTAATACAAAGTTCCCATAACCTCTGGGCACTCAAAATTCTTTTTTCCTCAAAGAGGGAAAAACAAAATAAATGAAGAAAGAGTTACTATTCGCTGCATCACTTGAAAGACTAAATACCAAAGACCAATCTATACAGACTTGCTTACATTGCAAAAGGAAGATGTATGATCATTACCTAGAAGTTCCTGTCTACAGAAGCAATATCTGGCAATAGCAGGTTAAGTTACCAATGTGAAATCAAACATCTATACATTCCTCAATGCCAGGTATAACTGGTGGCTAGTACTTCTTTCTTCAACCACGCCACCTTATTATTGTAAGGATTCCAAAATTTCCGGATGCTGCAAAAACTTGACTCCACCAATGCAACCAGGTATCAAGCGCACCAAAACTTACACTTATCTTTCCTATCCTCTGAAAAATCCCATCGTAATACACAAGTTCAAAGAAGTTTTCCTTGGTAGCAGGCCAATTGCTTTGCTTTTCTCTTCGTCCTGACAAACTTCTGACAGTATAGTACAGTTTCTCACATGATTTTGTAATTTTGCAGGTCAATTGAATAACATCAGTGCACAAGTATCATCTTGCCTTTAACGATTGAATGGAGAAGCCCAATGGCACATCTTCATTGCAGTATATGGAGGTGTATTTTCTAAGCTGAAATAGATTACAGCTTCAAAGAAACCAGCGAAAATCCAGATCCATCTTTTGAGCTGGACTAGTTTACAGCTTCGAAGAAAAGGACCTGCGGTTGCAAATGCCCTCTTTCACACATAACTAGAACATCATCCCAGCCACCAATTACCTGTATATAAAATATCCATAATAACAGAATCTTATTACAAAATAAGAAGGAAAAGTGAGAAGAAACAGAATATTACCTTCACGGTTTTGTCATCATACATGATCCACTGTCCACGATCACGACTGTAGGCAAAACAGTGATAGTGCTGTCCATAGTAGCAAACCTGAAATAAATATCAAGCAATAAGATCATCCATCTTTAGACACATCCCACACCAGAATTAAATACACTTATTAGAATACAAACGGAAGATGGTTCAATATCCAAAAGTACCTCACGTAGTAAGTATTCCTACTCTACTTGTTTGGTACAACAAAGTAATTCTTATACTCAGCAACATGAAAGATATACCTTAGCTTAAGCATATGCAGATGAAGATAAGCAAAGAATAAAGCTCAAGCATATTAGGATTAGTACAGAAAATATCTGCATAGGAGACCCCCAAAAAGAAAAGCTTTATCTTTGAGATCTGTAACTGGCCCAAGTTCAGACTGGAGAACCATATAGACAATGTTCTTGAAACAAACAAGATAATACCCAAACCAAAAAAGAAGCTTTATATTTGAGATCTGTAACTGGCTCCAGCTCAGACTGGAGAACAATACAGACAATGTTCTTGAACCAAACAAGATAATACCGAAAAATGGAATAAAATGTACTCGGCCTGATCAAATAGTCACCTTTACTCATCATTCATGAGTATAAGGCTTTATGTACAAAAAAGATACAATCACAAAAGTACTTCTCTTCATGAAAGATGACAGAAAGTACTCATCAATTAGTTGAAATGGTAAAAAAGAAGGATGAACCGGCTTGCACATGATATTTTAAAAGCAATTAACAATTGACATGGTTTTATGAACCAAGTAAACGAGCTGAAACTACAATATAACATTTACAAGAAACATGGGAGAGTTATCAAAATAAGAGCAGGAAATTGAGTATCTGAAATATGGATGGAGTTGAATATTGAGTTCCAGTGACTTGATTATATTTTGTTTCGAGCTAGTACAGAGAAATTTAAATACTTTAATGCCCCTAGAAATACATAGAAGGAAAAGAACAGCAGACAAAAGAATACAAAACATTTACCACAGAAACTAAGTAATGCTTGTTTTTCGGATCAAGACCGCGATAAAGGACGCCAATGTCCACTTCAGTAGATAAAGCTGATAATGTTGCTTTTATGTCATCTACACTCTCACAAGTATTCTGCCAACCTAAAACTGCAAGGGGGGAAAACAAATATCATGAGAAACAAATATGATTCTCCGAAGATTCTTCCATCACCCATGGCAACCAAAATGGAGGGGGGCAGAAAATATAGTTACCCGTTGTGAAAACATGTGGCGGAGCAGAGAGAATGTGATGAATATAGTTAAGCTTCTCGCATCCACCAACCTCGGGATCGCAAGCCAACTGATGGTTCATCTCAACAAGATTCAGAAGCTCATCAAACGAGCTTTCTGGACACATAACCTGAAAGAAAGAACAAAAAACTCGGTAAGCTGTTGAGAAAGCAAATAACCCACAATAACAGTAAAGCAAATTGCGCATTATCCAAACAATGTCTTGCTGAACTTCAAAAGATTAATTTACTGAACGGAAACTAACGTGCCATCACAAAATTGCCTCAAAGAACATGCCTTCATTGTTCGGAGAGCGCTGGCATTAATATTATGAAAAAACGATGTGTACTTCAGATGTCTGGACTCCAATCCACAATTGTAGCAGTTCATCTGCTCAAAAATATCCATTCCGAAAAGAGAATGCACAGTACAAGCACTACTTGAGCAATCCCAAGAGCCCATACAGCTGCTATCTGCAGATTCAGTATCCGAAACACCTGGGGTTGATATAAATGACCGATGTAGGCAATCAAATATCACACTCAGTACTTCAGAAGCATCATTCATTTGAGCCTGTAAGTCAATATTTTGTTAATTGAATTCAAAGAAGCCGTCTCCTAGAAATATATGAGGGTGCTCGACAGAGTTTCATATTTACCTCCTGGAAGAAATTACTATCGGGATAAAGGTTGCTGAGGGCAATTCTCAAAGTAGTAGGAGCAACAGCCTCTCTTCGCATCTCGGTAGAAGCCACGCTCAGAGCAGTAAATATGTCATATAGCGCACATACCACACATGGGTCACCAACATGATCATGCTCTAATGGTGTTCTTCTCAAAAATTCATCTCGAAATTGTCTTAGATGCCACAATGACTAAAACGGGGAAAAGAGAACACACTTGATATTCAAGAAATTTTGAAACACGATAAACAAAGTTAACTTTTTTATTATAAAACAAAAGACTAGCACTTGTAAATGCTAACCTGTATAATGACATTTAGAAAGCAATTGTATTCTCCAACTTCATTCTTTAGCCCAGTGCCATATACATCCATTTCATTGACATTCCCAACGCTTATTTCATCACCCATATCCCCGGTTTCAGAGAACATCCTCTGTGCCCCTGAACTTGCCTTCAAGGGTAATTTCTGATGTGCATTGAATGCGTCTGACATAATAAGAGAGAATGAGGGAGAAGTCACTTGAAAATTCAGGAGAGGGAAAATATAAAGCAATTAACTCTTCAAGACAAATGGAAAAACAGAAGCCGCTGCCGCCACTTCTCAAGACTCAAACTAGCATGTCACTTTCCTTCAGAATTCATAACCATTTGAGAGAAGATAGGAGAAACAGAGGGTAGATAAGTAGTCCTTCTCATCATCAAGGTTAAGCAGTGAATTTGATACAGATAGCGAACATCCTAGACTACTAATAAAACAAAATAGAGACAGCCTAAGTTAACAAAAATTAAAACTATCTTGGGGAGCTTGTTATCAGAGAAGAAAGATAATAGACATACCAAGACTTTGGCGTACAGCTCTCTTAAGGTCAGCTTGGAACCTTTCTTCATCATCTTCCTCCACATGTAGCTGTCTCAATGTCTTTGTTCCACTATCTCTGGTACCATTCTTTTCTAGATCGAAATTAAATGGTAGTGAATTTAGTTCACTTGAACAGAGAAGAGCATAAAACTGTTTTGTAGTTGAATTTTTAAGGGAAAATATTGGCAAAGCACATATTGCCACCCACCAGCTTGGCTCTTTTTCTTCTAATTTCTATAGAGGAGGGCAGTAAAGGGGATAGGATCTCAACTTGGCCCAAATAACTCCAAATGTTTTTCTTTTATAAAACTGACTCCAAAGATTTTTTAGCCAAAGGATCATAGAGCTGGTACTAAATTTGTTCTCACAGTTTAGCAACAGCATAACATGCCAACTTGAGTATATGGTCAAGTAATGCCACAATTACAGTATCATTCATCTGTAACCAAGATGACTAACTCCTCTAAAGTTTAAAACAATGAAGAAATGGAAGAGATGACTGGGTTGACCAATCACTGTTCTGATACCAACAGTAAATAGCTTGGACGTTGATTTGTTTGTTTCAAATATTCAATTAATGTATGTGGTCCAACTTTACAAAAGACAGCTTATAAGTATGAATCGACCAATAAAGTACCAATCCTAGAAGCCCTCATAACATTTAAACCAAAGCAATCTATCTTTGATGAGCTGAACAATGAACTGACTCTCTGTTTCAATATTAAAAAAAAATTAGTTGTGTTTCAAGTCAATGGGTCAACAAAACGACCCTCCTCCTTTCTCCGGGCTTGGGACCGGCTGTGTTATAGAGAAGACACTAACTACGACACAGGCGGAGTTATCATGAGAATATCATTCTTCAACAATCCCGAAGCTTTTTCCAAAGTAATAGGCACTGCCATTGAGCCCACATTCTTTTGTGCATTTAGCAAACAACTAAACACCAAGTGATAAAAAAAGCAAGAAGGAATTTAAACTATAAAGCAGACCCTTCCTGAATGCAGTCACGCATGGGGTACGTTAAAGTCACCGACCATGTATGAAATCCCCTTTAACATGCAGCAACAACAACTATTACGCCTCAGTCCCGTTGGGGCCGGCTATATGAGTCCTCACATCTTTTTTTAAGCTTATCTTACATCACCGTCATACCAAAATAAAATAAAAGTGAAAGTAAAAAAGAGGTTAACACACACACACACACACACTATAATAGTAATACAATAATAATAGTAGTAGAATTTCTTTACAAGTATAAGACCTATTCTCAACTGGTAAGTATCACCTATATGGATCTTTTTCTTCCATTGTGCCCTATCTTGAGCTAATTCTTCATTGATTCAAACCCCGTCAAAATGCAACTGTTCATTTTCATTTGGCAAACTGTCACCTAAGGGCCACGGTACATTTAGATTACTGGATATTTTCTGGAATACAGGAGAGTCAATAAGGACTACTAGAATTCTAACTGAATCCAAAAAGATCATCATTTTTATACACGTATACTAGAAGCTTTCCCTAAACTCTGAAGTAACTACTAAAGCATGTTAAAAGGTAGAAGACCAACAAGCCAGCGACAAACCTACACAAATAAAAGCCAGAGAAATAAAAATTAATCAAGTATTGCTGCCCTCTGCATACGCCTGTCCTCTGTTTCTAGCAGTTTCTGGATGCTAAAGCAAAAACTAAACTCAAGCAAGCGTGGAGGATGAAACCCAAAAATTTCCAGAGAAACTGCCAACAGACTAAATGCACCAAGACATGGATTAAATTTTTTGGTAAATAGGGATATACATATAGTGCCAGGCATTGCTCAGCCCCTCTCTAACTTCAAAACTTGGCAAGGATTCGACCACAAAATGTTCCACTTTTATTATAGGTAAAAAGGAACCAAAAAATGAATGCAAGGAAAATAAGGTGCACTGAGACTTTTTAAGTGCATAGTTCCTATTTTACAACAATAAATGCTTTCTGAGACTACCAGCTTTTTTTAACAACCAGGAAATCTGTGATTCTGACACTACGAACTTTCCTTTACAGGTAAAAATAACAGCGACTAGCAGAAAACTGCAAAAGCATCAACCACCCATTCAAGTTGGAGAAGTAAAAGAGAAGTCACCATACAGAAACAAGAAGCGGCTAAATACATACTCACCATGTGAAGAATCCAGAGCTCTTGATTCACTAACTGCAGTATTTTCCCTTTCAGAAGAACCAGATTGATACTTCCCCTCACTAAATTTAGTCGAACCTTTCTGGCGCCTGCCTTTTCTTGCAGATCGTTTATCAGATATCAATACACCATCCTCTGGACTCTCTTTGTTTGACAATCCAGAATAAGAGAAAAAATGATAGTATGTTCAGATGACATCATCCTAACTCTGGAACCTTGCAGTACAGATTACTTTGGAAGTATAAATTATTCCAGTCACTAGTCAAGAGCCATACCATCTCTTTGCGCCATTACTTCTGGAAAGTTCTTTGAAGGACCTTCTAAACTGTTTGGAAGCACATTGTTCTGCATCAAGGAAAGTCATATGTTACAATCACTTCATAGAAATAAATTATATTAGCAGCATCGTCGAGGTGTACCATCAAGGTCTTAGTTCTAACAGCATGAGAAATCAACATGTCAAAGGTTCTAACAGAAGAAAGCCTAAAATCAGAGTGTTAACCTTCTCGCTACTCTTCAATTGCTCATTGATTTTCTGATCAATATCACAACAATTCAAGTAAGTGTCAGGATACATTTTTTGATAAAGGCAAGTTTCAAGATTCATAGCTGCATCCATATTCTCTTGAATTGTTCTTGCAGATTTCTTATGTTGCTCAGCCAGATGCTTCAGCTTAGCCTCATTCTCAATTCTTCTTTGATACTCTAAAGTCTCTTCAAGCTTCCTTTCCTCGGCTTCAAGCTCAATCATACGTCTGTACTCCTCCTCCTGTAGATTTAAGGAGTTACCAGTTTGAGGAATTTCACTCTCTTGATCATCGCCATCATGAGCAGCAAATGAGCTGCACCAAAACATACCAGCGAAAAGAGTTGAAGGTTGTAGAGGTTTGCTCAGAAGCATAACTAGAGTGTATGTCAATGGAGAAATAGGTCTTTAGAAAGAGACATACGCATCTTCCACAGTCTCATGGTGAAGCACATGGGATTCGTTACCACTGTTAGGCTGCACAAGAAAGAGGAAACATGTTATACCTCCCCCCAGCATTATACATAAACAACTGCTTCAGATACAAAAGTTTGACCCACAGCTCAAACCTTTGAATCCTTTGCTCTTCGATACTCTTTGTTTTTTTTCTTGTCCTTTGTCTTTTCATGGGCATGTTTAGACTTCTCATTTCCCCCACTTGAACTCTTCTCAGAATCACGAGCAAGTTCAGCCAGAAAAGCATCCCTTGCAGCATCAGACTTCTCAGTTGCATCCTTCTCAGCCAGGTCCTCCAAGTGTGCCTAAAAAATGAGAAAACCAATCATCCTAGTCAGAATTCAGAAGAAGAAAGACAAAGGCTAAACGACAAGAGGATAGGAAGGCAAACAGCAGTAAAAGATCCTAAGAGCAACATAGGTGCTTCAAAACAGTAGATACCCGCATAAATGACTTCAATAGAGGCACTAAAATCTGCCGATAATCTTGGGCAGATGCAGGCTCAAGCTTCACTTCCAACTGTTGCATCCCGGTAACCATCCTCATGATTCGAGCATCAATTTTGCTCAACTGCACCCATGAAATTGTAAGTTCAAAAGGCAAGAAAGCAACACAGAAAATCGAAAAAGGAACACTAGACGGTAACTGATGCACCAACCTCAATGGAAACATGTTCCTTCTGTCTCTGTATTGCAACTTCCACGCTGGAGTCCACCTGATGAAGATAGTCTTTCAGTCTCCAATCATCCTCTTCGCCAGACTCCAAGTCACAAAATTGAGATGTTCCACCACCGTAAGTTTCCTCGAATCCGAATTGATTTACATTGAGAGATTCTGCTTCCTTCAGAACATTTGATATAGCATCCAACTCAAACCTACTGATAATCGTAACTTCGTTGTCACTTTCTATGAGCTCCTCTCGTCGCTTCTGCAAGACAGAATCATAGCTTTGCCGGACAAATTCTATTTCATGTTCTCTTTTTTTACCCTCTTCTAAGCAAAGATCTTCTACTGCCTGCAGTGCTTCCTCGTAACTTAGGTGCTCAGATTTTCTCTCACACAAACCCTGTAGGTCGTAATACTCCTTCTCAAGCAATCGAAGAATTTCCATACCCTGTTGAGCTTTCTCTTCTCTTGCACGTGTCCATGATGCCAGTGCTTCCACACTTGATGGACCAGTGAATAACCAGGACAGTAATGCATCTGAATCAATAATAACTCCATTTTGGTACTGATTACCAGACAAAATTGCTGCAGGTCTATCATTAGAAACTGCATTAGGACACGAGCTGGGAGAAAGATTGTGTTGCAGGAACTGCTTATCAAACAACAAACATGTGTCATCCCCACTGAAAACTATTTTCTCTAGATCGTCAAATCCATGACAACCATTGCTTGTTTCGTCCAGAAAACCAGTTCTCTCAGGATATCTACCTAAGCCACAAGAATGAGAAAGTTCTTGCAAGTATTTTAGTATTTTTTTCAGTTCTTCGGAACCCAAAAAGCATATGCACAAAGGACTCTGATCAATATTGTAGTTAAGAAGTTTAGAGCCAAAAGCAAGACCCTGAAGCTCTTCCACTGCAAAGTGCATAACCTTGCTGAGGTGACTTGAAGCAAGATATTTATTCTTAATAAGAATCTCAAACACAGCATGGATTCTTTCAAGAAGCTTTACTCGCTCAGGGTCATCAGACAGCGGCAAGCCTTCAGGAAGTAAATGAATCTTCGGACCACCATCTCCATCACAATCCATATAGTCAATGTCTGAGATCTTATCATTTTTTCTGCTCTCAACCATATCTCTGTTCGGTCTATCCCCTAATTTCTTCCTTCTAGGTGATGTGCCCCACTCGTCTTCATGGCAGAAAGCCTCCAAAAAGTCATCCTTTGACCCCTCTCCATCATCTCTTCCATAGGACTCATCTAGAAAACCATGGCCCTGAGATCTTGATTGTTTATTAAGTATTTCCACTGCTGCATTAACATCTAATGGTTTCCAAGAGCAGTTCAGAAGCATCTCAGCCCACTCATTCTCCACACTTTGAGGCAAAACTGACTGCATTTTAGGCAGCAAAGCACCCATATGATCATGCACAACATGATGAATGTGTGATTCTGAGTTTGCAAATTTTTCACTGCAGCGGCAACATGTCCAGAACTTCCAAGTTTTATTTGTCTTGGCAAATGCAAGAGCCTGAGATAGCACTTCAATAGCAAAACGATCCTTAGACGAACTAAAATGTGCCTTAAGATCTGATATTCTAATACTAAGCAATTCTTTCTTCACATCCAAACTCATGGAATTCCAATATGATTGCACCAAATTCCTTCTCTCCGTGGAAGAAGCAGTCTTCCTTGCATTTCCACTCTTCCTCCTCTCACCTGCTCTCTGCCCAGATCCTGCTGTTGAGTCCAAAGCTTTATCTCCCTCATTCTGTGATTTGACAGTTCCTGACTTCTGCTGTAACAGCCTCGCGGCAGCTACCCGAACCTCAATCTCCTTCCTCCTCTCTTCAGGTGTCTTAGTTGCCTTCTTAATTTCATTAGGCCTTCTAGCCTGAACCAACCTCAATTCCATTGGGTCCTCAGACACCCTCCTAATTGGAATTAACCTGAACTTCTCCTCCCCAGTTCCTATATTCTTCATCCAAGAAGAAATGGAAGCAAAATTTGACTTCTGAATCAAATTTTGAAGCTCACCGCGTATATGAGATATTCGAGCTTCAGCAGGGGAGATCTTCTGTTGACTCTCCTCCTGTAAGCTCTCCTTCGCAGGATCAATGGGATTTTCAATTGCCAATGCTCTTTCACACTCCTGCACGACTTCCTCGTACTCCTTCCCGTCATTCGCTGCTTCATACAACAAATTAGCATAGAAATGCGCAAACTCAATCGAGTACGGAGACAGCGACACTGCTCTCCTAGCACTCTCAATCGCATTCCTCAAATGCCTCTGCTTCGCATTAGGATCATCAATAATAGAGGCAACCTTCACACAAACTGTGCCCTGGACACGGTGAATCAAGGCCGAATAGGACGAACTTTCGTGCTTAGTGGACAAGTCCTTCATCAATCTTAGGGCTTTTGTATGGTTCCCGCGTCTCAGGGACGTTAGGGCACGCTCGCATTCAAGCTTAATCGAAGCATAAGAAGCAGCCGACGACGATGAGCCGTTTTTCTCACAATCAAATACCACTACGGCATCGTTTTTACTCAACGATCCGTTCGAAATTGAAGGATTTATTAAAACTAGCTTTTGCTCAGCATCAAGCGCCGACGGCGGCGACCCATCGTCGGAGACAGACGGAACCGCCGCCGGTGAAATTGAGGGTTTGGACCGAGGAGCGACGGTTCGCTTCTTGTGCCCCATAGAAGATCTCTCCTAGGGCGAATTAACCGAAGGCATATACCTTATTTCATGCCCCTAAATACGTGTAATAATATACATATATAAAATCCTCCAATTACACAGATTATATATATACTGTAATATGTTCAACAGACAGCAATAGAGAAACTTACCGATGAAAAGCACAATCGATCGGCGTTAAAGAGTGTGTTCTATATAAATAATAATATATGTATGTATAGGTAAGTAAACAGTGTCACTCTCTTTCTCTCTCTCTCTAAATCTATGTAAAAACGTATTGGGGGGTTGGGGGAACGAAGAATGAAGATATGGGGGGTGGGTAGGTTTGGGAAGATAGAGAACTGGACTATAGTCTATAGTAACAGTGGGATGAGGAGAAAAAATGGAGATTAATTAAGGTGGCAATTTTTAGGACACCTTATTTGGTGTTATAATTACTACTCCTATCATTCTTTTTCTTTCTCGTCATGTAATTTCTTTAAAGATTTTATTACCTTTATGCTGATGATTTTTCACTTTATGGAAATGCAATGCAACTGGTTTAAATAAGGAGCAGGAAAAGTTTTAAGAAAAATTGAAGCTATATATAACTTTTATACTAATAATGTAGTTTAAGCAATTCTAGCCGTTTAATTTATTTTACATAATTAATGAATATCAATTATAGATAATTATTTTATAATTTAACTTTAACTTATGTGATAATACAAAACGATTTGCACGGTTGACTTCTGAAAATTGAACTAAAATTTTCCAATGACTTTGTTGTTGAAAAATTAAAATGACTGTTCGAAAACTAAGATTGAAACTCCAACAAAAACATACTAGATGAATTATTCTTATTTGTGCAAGTATTGATGGATAATGATAATTAAGTGATATAGCAATTATCAAGTAAATTAGTTTGAAACTCCAACAAAAACATACTAGATGAATTATTCTTATTTGTGCAAGTATTGATGGATAATGATAATTAAGTGATATAGCAATTATCAAGTAAATTAGTTTGAAACTCCAACAAAAACATACTAGATGAATTATTCTTATTTGTGCAAGTATTGATGGATAATGATAATTAAGCGATATAGCAATTATCAAGTAAATTAGTTAAAATTTATGCAAATTGTTTGAGCATCACTATTAATTATTATTGAAAAGAAAATTGATCTGATATATCTATCTATATCTATTTATATCTATACTATATTAAAAGCACGAAGGCTTTTAGCGAAATATCATTCGCCTTTTTTACCCATCATAAATATCATATATGTTGGATAAAATTGAAACTAGATATTTGATTTTCTTTAATTTCATTCCTAATTTGGAGACTTGAATAAATTTGTGTATATTAGTTTTTGTCAAGCCCGAGTTAGAATTAAACATTAATGTATGTAACAAAATCCTATTCCATCCCATAACAATTCTATTTTACTTCAACCAGAACAATCATTAATGTATCATGACAATTAATACTTACCCGAAAAATGAGCAATTACACGTGTATGTAACAAAATTCTATTCCATCCCGAATTTCTTCACCACCAGAGTCGTACATGTATATTTGTTTTTTATACCAAGTCTTTGTTGAGTCCAAGATAAAATCAAACATTAAATTATCATCACAACTAATAATTCAGTATTTTAGTTATTCTTATCTTTCTTTTAAAAATGAAAAACCCAACTAAGTTACATTAATTAAATTTCAAAATAGCGAAAAGGAAAGAAAGGAAACCAAATTCCAATAATCTTACATATGTATAATTCAATATTTTGTTATTCTGATTTTTTTTTTTTAAAAAAAAAATTGAAACCAGCTAAATATGCAAAGAAGAAACTGATTTTTCTTAAGTAAAATATGTAAAGAATTTTTTAGGAAATACTCCTAGGATAGAAGTGTCTTCTTTGAAGACTATGTTAGTGTTAAATTGAGTGTTTGCGCTCCTTTGAACATGTAATTGGTCGTAAACTAGTGATAGAGTATGTTAGTAGCAATATGTTGATGCTTAGATTTATTTTGCTTCTTTGAGAGGGTATATGACTTCTAAAAAGTTATTAATCAATTCAGACAAGGTACACGCGCAACGCGCGTATCATGAGACTAGTATATATATATATATATATATATATATATATATATATATATATATATATATATATATATATATATATATATATATATAGAGAGAGAGAGAGAGA